TTCAGGTACCGACCGACAGTAATAAATTAATAACCTTATTATTGATTATCACGATGTTGATCTATCTTATGACGTCACATACTTTTTTGTTGTTTACGTTTTTTTTTTTTTTTTTTTTTACGCACGTCATCCTTTAAATGTAAAATTTTCATCATCATCATCATTATTATTATTATCATCGGGTATCCGACGATTCGATAATTTTTTTCAACGGCGGTTTTGTTAAATTTTTTTTTTTTTTGAAACACGTTCGGAAATTTTTCATCGTACGTCGTATCACTTTTTTTTTTTTCACCATTTAATACAAAAACGTTATTCTATTTCCACGTCATTTTGATTTTAGACCAAAAGAAAAAATGAAAGAAAGAAAAAGAAAGAGAGAGAGAGAGAAACAAGTTAAATTAACAACACTTTTCATCACCTGAAAATGAAAAAAAAAATTTTTTTTCCCACATTAATTTATCACGTTAAATTAAAGCGATTTCTTTTCTTTCTCATTTCCTCGTCACGTCTTTACAAAAACAAACAAACAAACGAACGAACGAACGAACAAACGAACAAACGATTGTTTTTTAAACTCTCGAAATATATTTTAAAACGATCGACCGCCAAAAAAAATAAAAAATTAATCGATTCGTAATCAATAAATAATTTTATAAAAATCAATAAATCGATCGATGAATAACAAAATCACATTTTCAATTAATAATAATAATAATAATAATAATAATAATAATAATAATAATAATAATAATAATAATTAAATAAGCCGCTTATAACAATCCGTGAAAATGAGTTTGTAAAAGGACAAAAAAAAAAAATTGACGGAAGACATATTTCCCTCGGAAAAAAAAAAAATGGTTTACTATCTTTATAATCCCAATGGCAGCAGCATCAACAGCATCAGTATCAGCAGCCACTTCTAATAAACGGATTAACGTCAAATTGTATAAAATTAAATTGAAATAAAATAGAGAGAATGAACCAAACCGACCCCATCATCCTTTTACCGTATGAAATTTAACCCTCCCGTCATTGGGTGGAAAAGAAAGAAAAAAGAAAAAAAAATCTTATTTTTTTATGTGATAAAAAACGACAGCGGCGATGGTGGCGGCGGCGGCGGTGGCGAACGGACCACCACAAACAATACTTATTAAATAAATTAAATAATAATAATAATAATAATAATAATAATAATAATAATAATAATAATAACGATTAAAAAAAAAAAGTTTTCATTGAATTTATATGTGCGCGACACATCATCCTCGTCATCATCATCATCATCATCACCATTTTTTTCTATTCCGTTATAATTCCAACGGTAAAAATTTAAATTTGAATCGATTTTATTATCGTAATCGTCGCCGTCGTAGTAATAGTAGCATCATCATCATCATCATTATCATCCCTCTTTTGGGTGCATCCCTTAAATTCGCACGAGACCTTAAGGCGAAGATAATAGATTTTTATTAGCGAACGGCTAATAAGATTAATTTCAAACGTATGCTTTCCCGTATTTTTCCTTTTTTCATTATTATTATCATCATCATCGTAGTCTGTTATCGTGATACGTGGCAGTAGTATAAAAACTTTTCTTTTTTTCTCATTTCTTTTTTCTTATTCAATTTCATTTATTTAAGTTTTTGTCGTGTATCGATGATTCACACTCACACACACAATATTAATGAATATTTAAAAAAAAAACATTGGAAACGGAATGATGATAATGATAATAATAATAATAATGATTTACACAACTCCATCTGAAGCCCAGTTCAGGAATTAACTCGTGCCATCGGATAAGATGGTTTCAGAAAGACTTACAAGAAATTTTGTGATGTCAAAGGTTAGAACAAGAGGAAACCTATCCATCAGGCATGCAGCAGCATTACAGGAATTTATTCCTTAGGGATCAGGATAGAAACCTGGAATTAACATTTGGGAAAAACTCCGACAAACAAGGTATGAGGCATCGTCGCGATTAAAATAATAATAATAATATTCAAATCAAACACTCTAAACGATTGAAAATGGATTTAAAGAAGAAGAAGAAGAAACAATTTTTATTACCCTTTAAGTAATAATATTGATAATAATAATAATAATAATAATAATAATAATAATAATAAAAACAGTAAAAAACAAAACAAACGAATAAAATTAAAAAGAAGAGAAAAAGAAAAAAGGAAAAAGAAAAACGTTAATCAATTTTCCTAATGGATTTTCAATCTTTATTTCTTAACAGAAAAATTACCGTAATTATAAGTAATAAAAATTCTAAAACCACGACACTTTCAATAACTCCAAATCATTAAACTATATTTTTCTTACAATGAAAGAAAACGCCTTAAAAAAAAACAAAACTTTTCGGGAAAATGGCGTACACACGTGCACACGCACACTCACACGCATTCAATCAAACAAATAAAAACGATAAATAAATAAATAAATAAAATTAAAATTAGAAAAAAAAAAAAAAAGAGTTAATGCAACGTGAATGATTTTCATTGGCAGTTGGCATAATATTTATACGTATATATAAGCGAAAACAATGGAAATAGTTGGATAGGTTTGAAAACGCATTCTTTCCCTTAGATGATGATAATCCTTTGTTTTCCTTTTTTTTTTTCCTTTTTTCTCTTTTCCTTTTTTTTTTTTTTTTTTTTAAAAACAAATAAAAGACTTTTCTAGTGAAATGAAATTGGGTGTAGGGTAACAAAAACCGCGGGGCGTAGACCTAAACCGTGAATGTCATTCTCAGAAATTTTGCTTATTATTAATAATGTCGGGAACGGGGGAACGGCGGGGACGGGGACAGCGAGGAAGGGGAGAGGGAGAAAAACGTGGAAGAAGAAAAATAAAAATAAAAAAAAAAAATTTTTTTCTATTTCTTTCCCCCTTCCCTCCCCCCGTTTAATTCTTTCGGATTAATAACTCATCAATCTTCATCTTAGTTTTTAAATATTTATAACCGAATCATTATTATCATTATCATTATTATTATTATCATGATTATTATTATTATTATTATTATTAAAGCGTGTGTTATTTTTCACCGCGAAAATTTTCTTTTTTTTTTTTTTTTTTAGTTTTCAATCTTTTATTTTACTACGACGTGGTTTTAACTAAATAGTTTTTTTTTCCTTCAATAGGACCGTTAAAAATAAATAACACGTGATTAATAATAATAATAATAATAATAATTCCTATTTAGAGGGTCGTACTGAGTCATTTACCCGCTTTTTTCGCTATAAATGCAATTTTTTGTTTCGAAACAATTGTTTGATATACGATTTCGAGTCATTTTTTCGCGATAAATAAAGTGATGTTCAAATATGTGAAAATTGGCAAACGAAAAGAGAGAGAGAAAGAGAGAGAGAGAGAGAGTGAAATGAAACGTGAAAAAAAAAGAAAAACTTTTAAAAACGCGGCGAAGATTTAAAAATAAAATAAAACAAAACAAAAGTTTTACAAAAAGAGAGAGAGAGAGATTGTTCTGTAAGTAACGGCTTAAATTTTTTTTTTTTTTTGTTTTTACACGTCGTCGTCGTCGTCGTAATTTCATTTTAATAAGCGTAAATATTATTATTATTATTATTAATTTCGCGGAGGGTTAAATTTTTTTTTTTTTTTTTTTTTTAAAGAAGAGAAAGAGAAAAACTTTGGCAATATATCATGGTTCATTCAAGGCTCTCGAGTTCCAAACCATTTTCCGGTAGTAAAATCCGGTGTGAGAAAGAGAGAGAGAGAGAGAGAGAGAGAACCTACACGCAGACGACAAATTATCGAATGAAAAGTTTTTAGTTTTTGTATAAGAAGAAAGTTAAAGAAAGTAATACTTAACAATTGAGAAGACCCAACTTGTTAAATATGATTAGAAAAGTTTTATTATTGACCGCGTATTCCTTGGGCTAAACATACGCGTGGAAATGTTAGATTTAAAGGAAGGAGGAGAGAAAAAACAATAAGATGTTGGCATCTTAAAACAATGGGTCGTGGCATTGCCTTGATAAATGGCGTGACGTCACGCACAGCATCTCCGTCTCCAGGCGATATCTCCGCCTTAAAAAAAAATTTTTTTTTCTTCGTTTTTCTTAATCTTTTTCTTAAAAATGATCTTGAAAATAAATTTTTTTCCTTTTTTTTCTTCCTTTTTTTTCCTTCCATTTTCTTTCCTTTTTTCTACTCCTTTTTTCTTTCCTACGAAATTTAAATATATATCGATACGAATACATTTTATGGCATCCCTAAAGGAATTTAATAATATTATAAAAAAAAACCTAAAATCGTTTAGTCACTGCCATTATTACTCGTGTGTGTGTGCGAGACGGAATAAGAGAGAGAGTGAGAGAGAGAGAGAGTTTAAAAACTCTCCCTTCCGTTTTTCTGGATATTTTACTACTTTTATCAAATCATAAAAACATTTTATCAGTTTTTTTTTTAAGGAAAACATTAGCCATCATCTCTTAATCTTTTCATCATCCTTAAAGATCAAATTCACATTAATAAAAACCTTTTTTTTTTTGAAAATCCTCCATATTTGATATCCCGGTCACTGTATTTTTTATTTTTTCCTTTTCTCTCTCTCTCTGTCTCTTTCTTCGGGATTTTTTTTATTTATTTCATCATCATCATCATCATTATATCGGAAATAATTAAAAATTTTTCTTCGATTCGTACCACGACGACGATTATTTATTTTATGAACTCCTAAATAAACGTGTAAGCAGACAATAATAATAATAATAATGATTAAACGATATTTTTGTGATTTTTTTTTCTGTCTATAAGACGCACGATACACGATGATGTAGTTTAATTAATCGTCGTAAATTTTTTTTAAACAAAAAGATCAAATGAATCTTAATAAGAGAGAGAGAGAGAGAGAGAGAGAGAGAGAGAGAGAGAGAGAGAGAGAGAGAGAGAGAGAGAGAGAGAGAGAGAGAAAGAGAGAGGAAAAGCAAAAGGAGCAAAAAAAAAAAAAAGGAGAGATGCTCTCACATGAAAACCCGTTTTACTCTGGCTATGTGAAGGCTCAATGGGAAAACATAAAAGAAATGAAGAGGAAGCCTTACGGTTGCGATATTGCGAATTACAAGGACTCCGTCTCCGTGGAAACGTCGAGAACAATAAGCACACAGAACAGAGAGAGAGAGAGAGACTAAAAAGCTTCTCAACTTCATGGGCGCGAGGAACTTATTAAAATATTAATTCTAGTCCAACTTTCTTCACTTCCTTTGTAACAATAAATTCTTTTTCCTTTTTTTTTTCTTTCTTCCTTTCTTTATTATTATTATTATTATTTCTTCTACTCTTTCTTTCTCTCTTTCTCTTTCTTTAATTTATAATATTAAAACTCTATGTGAAAAAAAAACTCCCTTTAAAAATAATAAATTAAAATTATTCGAAACAAAACTTTTTTCCTTTTTTTTCCCTTTTTTTCCTTTTTTTTTTTTCCTTTTAACGGTATTTAACTACTAACAACATCTTTACAAAAAAAAAAAAAAAAAAAAAAATTTTTTATACGTGAAAAAATTAATACGAATGAATTATCACCATTTTTACGCACGAATAAATTACGCGTAGTAGGTAAAAAAAAAAAAAAAAAAAACGTTTTTAATATAATTTCTAACGTAAAAAAAAAACAATTAAAAAATGATGATGACGTCACGGATCTACCCTCCACCGCACCCCCCCGCGTAAAGACTCTATTGACAAAAAAAAAAAAATTTTTTTAAATCACGAATCGTTCCGTCGTTTTTTTTACCGTTAAGAAATTTTAAAAATTTTACAAAATGGCGGCGGTCGAATGAATTATATTCAAATTATTATTATTATTAATATATATTAATACGAATTCTATGGTGGGGAGACGAAGAAAAAAAAAATTAAAATTTAATTCCACGTAAAAAAAAATAAAAAATAATCAATCATTTTTTAAACGTGTCTGCTAGAATCATTATTGACGTTTGCCACACCATTTAAAACAATGATTTTAATTGATAACTGTCACCCCACCCCCACTCCTCCCCCCCCAAAAAAAAACAACGAACTTTGATCGTAAGTATAATATTTATTTGACGGCCATTTTGAATTTTACATAAAACGTAAACACAAACGTTATCAGCAGGGAAAATTGACGTACGAATGTGAAAACAGTTGTGCCAACCGAACTTCCGCCATTTCCGCCATTTTCGCGATTCGAAAATATTTTTTTAACGATACAATTTTCTTTTAATAAAAAAAAAAAAAACCGGAAATGATTAAAATAAAAACCGTTCAAAGGTAACATGATTGTTACCAAAAACCAATTTAAATTTGCAAACATTATTAATTCACATATTTATATGAAATTTGAGTAAACAACAACAACAACAACGACAACAATCAACGATAAACGAAAATATATCGTTATCATTATCGTTATCACTCGCAAAGTACAAAAATAATTGATAATAAAAAAGTAAACAAATTTTAAAATTGACCAAAAAAAAAAAAAAAACTTAATTACGCTTAACAAAATTTTTTTTTTTTTTTTGATAATAATTTACGGGGCGATGATGATGATGATGATGATGAACGAAACAAACAAACGACAACCGCGAGTTTGTCGGCACGATATAAAAGCCTCTCCCATATTATTATCATTATTATTTAAAACCATAAAAAAAGAAAATTTAAACGTTTTTTTTTTTTTTTTCTCGACTATTAAAATGATGGATGAGATTTTCAAGGGAATTATATTTATATAAAGAAGGCGGTGCAGAATTTTCGTTTAGGGCATAAAGATGGCCGCGGTCGAAAAATACGTTGGTTTATTTTTTAAAAACAACGTACGGGACTTAAATATTAATTTTTTTTTTTTTGTATGTTGGTACGACGTTTATATCGTATTATTATTATCCTTGAATTTTAAATGATTGTTTTATAAAATGTTAAGAAAACAAAAGATTTTGTCACATCCGTCGGTTGTCATTTTTTTTTTTTTTTTTTTAAATTAGGAGCGACCCCCGAGAAAAAAAACAAAATGGCGGCTGGCGTGACGAAAAAAAAAAAAAAACAATTTACATCGCGTTGTAAATGCTCGATCGCGAAAATAAATATAATAATAAAAATAAAAAAAAAATTAATTTTTATGTCCCGATGTTTTTCCGTTTCCGGTTTCTTTTTTTTTTTTTAAACGGAAAGCGCGCATGCGCATGCGAAACGATTAAACGTAAAAATATCAGTTGCGACAAAAAACGTAAAATTTTTTTTTTTGTTTTTTGGGCCATAAAAAAAAATAATTTTTTTTTTCCTTTTCTCCCTGCCCAAAGGAAAATTTGTCTCTCATTTTTGCCCCTTTGAAAACTCATCGTTATTTCCTTTATGGTTTTCCTTTTTCTTGTTCGTTTTATTTATATATATATTTTCCTTTTTTGTCTCCTTATTTTTCTTCTTTTTACATCCGGTGACTAACCGGTAATAATAACAATGATAATATTTTCTTCTTCTTTTTTCGAAAAGGAAAAAATGGAAAGAAAAAAAAAAAAAAGTACTCACTTTTGATGTTGTTTGAATATCTTATGCCACGACATTGTCACGCACGACCTGAAAAATAAAAAATATATATATTCAGTATTGCCAATTGCATTTTTAACGATTTTTTTCCCATTTTCTCGGAAAAAGAAAAAAAAACGAGAAAAGGGGATAAAAAGAAAATTTTAAAGTAAAATTTTTTAGGCGAGAAAAAAAAAAAAGAAAAACTATCGAGCAGAAAATAAGAGAAAAAGAAAAAGGAAAAAAAAAAAACATTCGTAAAAAAATTCCCTGTCGCATTTTAAACAAAGCGGAAGTGAGCTGTGACGGACAGACGGATGCATTAGACGGACTTCCGGCAACTTTCTAAATAAAAATAAAATAAATTTTCCTTTTTTTTCCTATCGTAATATTATAAGATGACTACGGTTCATCACGTTTAACTTATAATAAAAACAAACGTATTTATAATTGAAAAAAAAAAATAGGAAAATTTTTCCCATCGATTTCGTAACGGTTTAGCGTGGTAGTAGAAGCAGAAGAAGAAGGAGAAGGAGAACCCTCGCGTTGAAAATTTGACTTTGTGATTTGGCTCACTCGCCTATGAAAATTTTATTTTTTTTGTTAGCTTTTCCAATTTTCCTTTTTTTTTTTTTCTAAATGTGATTTTTAGCTCTTCGGGGAAAAAAAAAATTTTTTTAAATTCTAAATGACGTCCGCGTCCTCGTCCCCGTTCCTAATAATGACGCACACATCAAATCAAAAAAATTCGCGTTAAAACGCCTATGACGTCATCACACAAAACACATACCCGTAGCACGACGCCATTAATTTCAAAATTTTCCTTTCTTTCTTTTCTTTTTTCGAATAAAGAAAATTACGATATTATATTAAAAAGGAAAAGAAAGAAAAAAACTTTAAAAGTTAAGCAGACGAAATAATTTGATTTTCATACGGTCAGTTAATATTGTTTTTATAACGGAAAAATTAAAAAACCTTAGAATTAGAGGGATGAAAATAAATTTTTTTTCTCTTCTACTACAAATACAAAACCGTTAATTTTAATTCTTAATTTCGACCTTAAATACGTGTGTGTGTGTGTTTTCACAAAACAACAAAAAGGTTCATCCCCCTTCCTCGGTTTTCCGAGTAGGGAAAGGGGGGTGGATTAGTAGAAAAAGGAAAAAAGGAGTAAAGGGAAATGAAGGGAAAAAGTGAAAATTTTATATATATATATATGTGTATGCTTTTGGGTTGATAATCGGATGGTAGTAAAGGGGATGAAAAAAAGAAAAAAAACTAGAGTAAGAGGGTTGAGGGTTGAATACGACGTCATATGTCATTATCTTGATGATTGCGATGATTAAGCAGCATGTTCATTAAGTATATGATGTGAGCCGCCTACAATCTCTCTCTCTCTCCATTTGTAATTTTTTCCTTCATTTCAATTCTTCCGTGTATTTTCGAGTACTTTATACAAAAAAACACACAGATTGCCTCCTTGTTCGTCCTCTGACCAATTTTGTTTTTTTTTTTTCCTCCCATTTTTTTTTTTTTTTTTAATTTATCCCAAACGTTAGGAAATGAATTAAATTTAAAAAAAAGGAAAGAAAAAGAATGAAAGACATCTGGTTGATGTTTTCCCCACGTAATGTCGGAAAATTGATTAAATCGAAAAATCCCTTTTGTAAGAAAATAAATAAAAAAATATATATATATAAAAAAAGAGAGAAAGAAAAAGAAATGAAAGAAGAAGGAGAAGGAAAAAAAAAGGAAAAACTTTTCGAATTTTACCGCCATTACTAACTACTGCCACGACATTCGAAACGAAAACAATTCTTTGTTAAACACCGATGACGACATTTTTCGCCCAAAATTTTTTCTTTTTTAAAAAATCAATATAAAATCATTAAAATTAATTTTCTAACGGTTAAATAATAATAATAATAATAATAATAATAATAATATTGATCGAGAAATGATTTATTTATTTAACGACCCAAAAAAAAAAAAACGAAAAAAAAAAAAATGAAAAATGTGTTTTAACGTTATCAATTCGATCGCGTAGCAGAAGACAAAAAAAAAAAGGGAAAAAGGATAAAAAAGGAAGTAATTTAGGACAGTTTCCGGTGTTTTTCTTTTTTTCTTATTTTTTTTTTTTTACCCTCTTCTGATTTCGAAACATTCTTCATTTCTAAACGTTTCTTCTTTTTATTTATTTATTAAAAAAAGAAAGAAAATCGGAAACCGTTGGAAAAATTTTTTTCTAATAATAATAATAATAAAACAAACCGATAATAAAAAAAATCGATCGGATAGAGAGCGAAAGAGAGAGAGAGAGAGAGAGAGAGAGAGGGAAAAGTCATTAAAAAAAGTTGTGATATAAACGTATGAATTCATCACAAAAAGATATAAAGAAAAGATAAAATAATATTCACTAATTGAAATGGAAAACTCTGTCAGAGGCCACTTGAAAAAAAAAAAAAAAAAAAATTAAACATCATCAAAGGAAAAATTTTTTTTCTTATTCTAAAAAAAAAAGAGAGAGAGAGATGCAAAATTCTTATATACATACGTACACGAGTGTAATTTTCTGGTTTTTAAATAACAACAAAAGAAAAGGAAAAAAAAAAAAACATGACCTGAGGATTTTATGACCCCTTAA